AGAGCTGGAGGGTGGGGTCCTTACAGAGACACCAGGATGACATGGGCGATTCCATTCCGTTATTGATCATAATATTTTCCCTTGAACTTGATTTCTCATTTGTAGAGTCAGGTCTTTATGCCATGCCTGCTTACCTCAAGGAGGTAAACAAGGAAGGGAAGGTAGCATGGCATAACGTGGAGGATTCTGAGCGAGTCCTGAAGGATACATGGACCACTGGTGGAACACTGCAGTGAGAGAGTGTGAAGGGGTGGGGGGTGGGGAACACAACTCCTCACCCAGATTGCCTTTAATCTTGCAGTATGTCAGCTTCCCAAGTTCTGGGATGCAAGTGTCCACCACCACACCCTGCCTATAAGTAGAATTTGTTTAAGAACTGTGTTGTGGAGCACATTAGGAAAATACGATGCACACAGCAAACCCATGATCTTGCAGATAATGTTGCTTTAAGTGAGATGAGAGAGGCTTAAGGAGGTGAGTCACGATGAAGAAAGTGCTAAGAAAATAAAGTTACATTGGGCCTGGAGCGATGGTATGGGGTTTGGGATCATGTTCTGCTCTTGCAGAGGACCCAAGCTCAGTTCCAAGCACCCATGTCATACAGCTCACAATCATCCTGTAATTCCAGGGGAATCTGGTGCCCCTGGATGACAGTCACCTGCATTCACATGCATGCAAACATGTACACACACACACACACACACACACACTAGAAAGAGAGAGAGAGAGAGAGAGAGAGAGAGAGAGAGAGAGAGAGAGAGAGAGAGAGAGAGAATTTTAAAATAATTTAACAATTTTTAAAATGTAAGAAGAAGAGAATAACATAATTGGTCTGAGAATTTGGCAACATGGCAGCACAATGTACAATGAATCTGTGAAATACAAACACATCTCATAAATATACTGATCACTTATTCCTTGTGCTTCATGATAGTGCTTTAGGCAGGTACTTGGACATGTTTTGTCACTAATAGAGCAACTCTAACTGCACTTGCTTGTTTCAAAGTGATTAATTTGGGGCTGGAGAGATGGAACAGTGAAGAGCACCAGCAGTTCTTCCAAAGGACCCAGGTTCAATTCCCAGCATCCACATGACAGCTCAAACTGTCACTCCAGCTGCAAAGACTCTGACACCCTCACACAGACATGCAGGCAGGCAAAACACCAAGGCACATACAAGTAAAAATAAATAGATCGTTTTTAAAATCTCTCTTTAGAAGGGACAATTTGATGATATCTCTCAAAAGAAGAGGTGCAAATGGCCAATAAGTACATGAAGATGCAATGTTCTTAACCTTAAAAGAAATACAATAAAGACTACACTGGTTCCTTCTCATCCTAGTCAGAATAAGTTTCATCAAAAAACAAACAACACACACTGGCAAACATGAATATTTAATACACTGTGGTGGGGAAGGAAATTAGTTCAGCCTTTATTGAAAACAGTACAAAAGTTCCTCCAAAAATTAAAAATAAAGCTAAGCATATGATCTTGCTATACACCGTTCTTGAGTATACACCCAAGAGGAATCAAAGTCAGCTCACCGTAATCCACCAACCCACATTTATTGTAGACAATCTTTGAAATTAGCTTACATGCTTATCCATTAAAGAATGAACGATTTTTTTCTTTGCTTGGCTTACAAAGAAATTGATTCACTGTGCCATCTTCACCGTATACTTTGTTCTGCCTCATGAGACCACCTGCCCTTCCACTGTCCATCCCCCATTTTTCTGTTCACTTACCTCACCAACAGTCTCCCGTTCTTGTTTTCATGTTACAGATCATCATCTATTCCTGTTTGCTACTCCCCATCAGCACAGCCTTGGGCCTCGTCCCCTTGCCTCACAGTGCTCTTCCTGCCTCCTATATAGATACATCTACACACACACACACACACACACACACACACTTAAATCTGGATCCCACATGTGACAGACAGACTTGGACCTTATTTCACATAACACAATGATCTTCAGTTGCATCCAATTAACTGCAAATGTTATAACTTCATTTCTCTTTAAGGCTCAATAAAATCCCATCACATATAAGTACCACATGGTCCTCACTTCTTTGTCTACTGATGGGCAATCGGCCTGATTCCATATCTTAGCTACTGTAAATGTTACGGCCAAGCACACACACTGCAAGCATCTCTGTGGTGAACTGACACAGAATCCTTCAGAAATATACACAAGAGTGGCACAGCTGGATCATATGGTCGTCTTAATTTTCAGTTTTTCAAGGAACCTGCACGCAGATTGCCACTGTGTCTGCACCAGTTTACACTCCGACCGGCAGCATAGGGTAAGAGTTTCAATTTCTCTACACCCTTATCATTTGTGGTTTGTATTCTTGATGAGAGCTGTTCTGACTTTGATGAGGTAGTCCCAAAGCAGTTCTAATGTATATGGCCCAACACGGAGGCCTTAAAAACAGGTCAAAGAATGGATCGTTTTACTGCAAATGCTCAGACATGATATGCAAATCAAAAAAGATCAGGGGAGCACTTGCTTCAAAGCTCCATCCGCTCTTCCACCTCATTCCCCAACCAGTAACTGACAGACGAAGTTGAATGCTGGCTGCATTTCTCACCGTTCCCACTGTGTGACCTCTCTACCAGCAAGGTGCTTCACTCTGGTCCCAAACACTTGGTAAACTCTTGGACTGCAAAGTCTCTGCCCAGAAATAGATGGCACCTCTCCTTTTCCTGTATGAACACAGCTTTGACTGAAAGGCGTGCACTACATGACAGAAATGACTAAACTGTTCCAATTTCCCTTCATGATGAACTTTGAGTTTATAACTTTGCATCTAGAATTTCAAAGACTTAGGAGTAGAAATGCCCCATATAATAATTAATACTTTCTAAACTCATAATTGTTATCCATAATCCATTTCATAAAAGAATATATTATCATCTGAATTATGAATCATAATTTGAATCTGCACATTGTGATATTAATATTACAATATTCAAACCTTGGTGATTACAAATACAAAGGAACTAAATTAGTACAGTGTGCACAATTAAATGGAAATTTGAAAGTACTTGAAAACAGGTCACTGAAATCTTTTCTGACAGGTTAGTGACTAAATTAGAAGAGCTACTTTCCAGTGCGTCTCTGTTTTCACACAACCCTAGAAGATCACCTTCCAAACAGTTCCGGAGACAACTAGTGTGCCTCTCAGTGGCACGTTCCACAGTGATTTCTACAAAGAGAGTTACGTTGGGTCAGGGAATCAGAGATCCGAGGGAGGTCACACTATGGCCACTAATATTCTCCTACATTCTTTGAAGCATCACAATGCTGCAGAGAATCCAGACCTCTGAAATTCAGACCAGTCCATTTCTGGTTAGATTCAGATCAAACAGTCCATTAAGAAGCCCACACAAGCTGGACAGTGGTAATGTATACGTTTAATCCCAGCACTCAGAGGCAGAGGCAGGAGGATCTCTGAATTCAAGACCAACCTGGCCTTCAGAGAGACATCTTTATTTCTCCTGGGGGAGATCATGAGAATACTCTTTCCCCAATTGCACTATACCCGTGGTTTTGCCGATCCAGTAGGGAATGAAAGAACATAATATGGTGGTTGATGTTCTAATACTAGGATTCACAAATGTGAATTCACAAATGTGCTAGGTCCCACATTTCTAGAAAGCTTCCCCATCCCAGATTGTTTCTCAAGCTCAGTGTAATTTAAATTGTGTTATCATTTTTTACATTAAAATGGTCCCAAATTAAGCCAGTTACAAAGCTCCATCACTGCCAGAGAGACAGTTTCCAAAACATAACTCACACATGTTTTGAGATGAGTTCTCACTGTGAAGCTAGGCTGGCCTTAAATCAAAGCAATCCTCCTGCCTCAGCCTCCTGAGTTCTGTGATTTCAAGTGTGAACTACTAGGGCTGCCCAATACTTCTTTGTTAATTTTCGAGTATTAATTTAAAAGCAGTATGGCAAATGAAAAATCCCGAATTTGTTTCATATGCTTTGTTAACTCTTGATTTTAATTTGTCTGAGACTTTCACTTTAGTACTGTCTCCATTGAAGACCACATCAAAGGTTCTGAGATGACAGTGTCAGACTTAAAATCCTAAAGCTGCTGTCATCATAATGATACTGAGCTCTGGCTTGCCATGATCTGGTCCAAGCTTGCACTCCAACTCTGTCTTGGTTTGTAATGACATCAACATTTCTCCCTATTAAATGCTTGAGTATTCGTCTAACTGATGAATGACAAAATCCAAAGAATTTAATGCTGTCTTCATGTTGGTATCAAGGTCTACTTATGAAAGCTTCATAAGATATTAAGATAATGGCTTTATTATTTATTTATATAATACAAATATTTTAATGACTTTATATGAATATGCATTTGGATATATTGATATTAATTCCTTACAAGCCAATTCTAACCTGTTTTAGCACACAAAGGGTATTAAATAATATTTAACATTTTTACTTTTTTTTGCATGTATTAATTTGGGGGGAAGAGGGAAGTATGTGCCACGGCACATGTGTAGAGATGAAGGGACTGCTTGTAGGAGTTGGGTCTCTCTTTCCATCATGTGGATCTAGAGATAAAACTTAGCTTGTGAGGTTGGCTGGCAAACTCCCATACCTACTGAGCCATCTCACAGGCCCAATCATCTTTTTAAGTATTATTTCCTCCTAAAAAGACCCAGCATTCTTCAGATAAATTGTTAAAATAAAACAAGAAATGTGGAAGGTAACACTAGAATATACTGTCATACCAAAAATCAAAAGATTTTTAAACAAGACCACTGAATCATACCAAAAAAATTTAGGAACCAACTCACAGAGGCCACTGACCAAAGATAGGGCTTACAGATCAACACAGATTCTACAGGACTGAAGCACACTGCTTAAATCTTAAGTACAACAATCTTCAAATCATTACTCATTTTTAGAATACGCAAGAGATAACTCATCATCTAGAAAACTTGCAAATGAATTTAAAAACACTTAGTGCCTGTCTTGACCTTCTTGTATGTAGATGATCAGGTGTCGAAGAAGAGCATATCCTCTTGAGAGCTAGACCCCCTGGAAAATGAAGGAAGTAAAGTCAAGATACCATTATTCCTCAACCCCCTAAAGATATGACAGATTATCAGAGAAATCAGTGGTGCTGATGCCTATAATCCCAGCACTTAGGAGACTGACACGGGGAGGTAGAAAGTGAAAGAGCAGCCTAGGATCTGTGACAAGGCCAGACTGAGCAACTTTGTGAAACCCTGTCTCAAAAGTCCAGGACAAGAAGGGGGCAAAGAACACTGTGACATAAAAGACACGAAATGGGATGTAGTGTGAATCCTGGGATAATAATTACCAACTAATGGAATAGAGAAAAACCAAGCCTCCTACAAAGGAGGTGGGTTGTATATAATTTGAAAAGATCCCAGAAATGATTCTGTATTTCTTCCTCTCTCCACTTGGAGATACTGTATTAGAACACACAAATGGCAGCCACTGTTACATCACTACTCCTTGTGACCACTTACCTACTTCTATTCACACTTTAAGGTGAATCTGTATCTAGTGGCATGAACTAGCACATAAATATCCTCAGTGATCTTCATGATATACAATATTAGAGTTGATTGTACAAACTCACCCCTCCTGATCTCCAAATTTAAAGCCAGTTTATCATTTGATTTTTCTGTCTCCTGACTTAATGAGTCCTCCACTTGACCCAGGTACAGCTAACACACTTCTGTTGAAACTGTACTCCGCCCTGATTCATCTCGCACGGTGCCTGAGCCACAAACGTCAGGTTGTTCTTCATCCTGGAACCACCTGGGCTCCAGAGACATATCAAACGCTTAGCTATCTCACCTGCTCTGATGTCAAGGATAAATGTATTATCATATCGGTATTACACGTGAAATGTCATCGTTCAAGTCTGTTAAGGGTTGCTATGGTGTTATCTACCTGGGGAAAAGAAAGCAGTGTAGAAAGTAATTGTTTGCCATCTTATTGCTTCTTTCCTTTTGAGCCTACTACAGATGCTGCTACACACTACTCAGTGCAGAGAGCAGAAGCTCTGAAGCCACACAGTGCAGATCCCACCTCTAGTGACTGGGTAATATACACGTTTCTTATTTCTCTCATTGTTTTGTCTTATCTGTAAAGTTATGTTACCAGTGCATGTTACATAAGACCTTTACAGAGATAGAATGTAATAATAGCATTTGTAAGGCACTTGGAACAGGAAATAGAATGTTAATTTCTTTTCCTTCTTTCAAATATAGTGAATATTATTCTTATAGAGATAATATTATGTAATACAATAATATCTGAAAAACAAGTTAAGCAGGTTGGGTTGGTTTTTTTTTTTGGGGGGGGGGAGCCCATTGAGTTTCTTTATGGGTGTTTCCTGTTATTTTGTTTGTGATCTTTTAAAACAAGGCCTCACCCTGTAGTCCAGGCTGGCCTTAAACTTGCCACAATCCTCCTGCCCCAGCTTCCGGGATGCTGGGATTACAGGTGGTGGCAGGTGGGGGAGAAGGCATTAAATCATCAAGGTTGGTGTCCCCAGAATCGGTCGCTGAGGATAAGGACCACCCAGACCAGCAGGACGGGTTGTCGCTGTCCTTGGTGCTGGTTACTGCGATCGCGCGCTTGGCAAGCGGTGCCCCTAACCCCAAATGCTTTTCCTTCAACTTGATGAGTAAAGCTCCCATTTCTTTCTCATGGAAAATTCTCAGTCATTCTGCTCATCGGCTTTTCCCCTGTATTACCGTGATTTTCTTGTGTTTTCTTCAAAGGAAAACAATTATTTTGCATTTTCTCATTTATAAAACGTTTTGATTCCCAGAAACAGGAACTATACAGAAGGTAACTTAGAAATTGGTGTAAAGTACCTTTTACTTTCCAAGTTTCAGAGAAGTTCAAAGCTCATTGTTCGGTTATGCGAAGCAGTGTGGTCGTGGTGAATATTTTAACACCTTCAGCACTTGCCGGAGATGCAGTCCCATGGCAGAAAAACTGTCTAGTATCCACAAGAGTCTGAGTTCAGTCACAAGTACTGAAAGGACTAAATAAATAAATAAATAAATAAAATCAAACTAATACCCAAAATACCCAGTAAATATATCTTTCAGTAAAAAGAACACACTAAAATCTACCCTCAAATTAAAAGTTAGGATTTAGGACATAGTCAATATTCAATGTAGGTATGTTGGACTACATTTAAAATTGATGGATCCATTAGGAAAAAACTGATCCCCACAACATCCTTACAAGTCAGACTACTGGATCTACAGAGATGGTTCAGTGGGTAAAAGTGTTGTATAAATATGGGAATCTGAGCTTGGATGACAGAATCTACATAAAAGACAGGGATTGTCCAAGACACAGTTGTAAATGCTGGGGGAAGGGGAGAACAGAGATAGAACCAGAGGATCTGGCCACCGGTCTACCTCAAGGTTCAAAGAAAGACCCTGCCTCAAAGCAATAAGACAGAAAGTGGTAGAACACGGCACTCAGCATCCTCATCTAGCCTCCACATCTGTGCACACATAATATGCTCACATCTCTCTCTCACACACACACACACACAGCCCTCTGTGCTACATCTAACTGTGAATTAAATTTCAGAGTAGCAAAGTTTTATTGGTAAAAATATCCTAGAATCTATTTGCTTCACACCCACCAATATCAACCTTCTGGTTTAGTTCTTCCACTTGCTAGTAAAACACCAATGTCTTTCATTTCAGAAGCTCTGATTTCAAACTACCCATCTTTCTCCCTCTGGCTCCCATTCTTCCTGTGTACACAGGCGACAGTAAATGAGTGACTCCCAAGGGGCATGGGGGACATAAACAGTTTATAAACACCTTTCACTCAGAAGCAGACTTCTAGTCTTCTGCTGAGGACTGAGTGGAGTAGTCGTCAGCAAATAGTTCTAAATGGGGAATCTGACACAAGTGTATCAGAAGATGTGTTCTCAAGTCTTTGGTTTTTATAAATAAAACACCTGACTTTCTTTAAGACATCCTTCATAAGCACTCTGAACCTGTTTTGTAAATAAGAACTGCCCAGCCATTCTCACACAGCATATCTGGGCCCAGAGTTATTTGGAAACAATGTGTGGCTCTCCTCCTCTTTCACTGTAGCAACAGTTGTAACATTTAAAAACTTTGAAGCAGTATGTTCAGTCTCCCCTAGGAAGATTAGGGAGAAATGCAGCACTTGATCTTTACATCTTCAGAGGAGGGTTTAATGACAGGTTCACCCAGTTTAATGACAGGCCCAGCACTACACCCTAGTTTTATTGTTTCATTATTCCTGCATAAATGCTCTTTATTACACATGATAACTAAAAATCAAATACTTGCTGAGGTAGGTTTAAACCGGTAAGAGGGCAAACTAAGATATATAGTATACACGTGGAACTGGACCTTAGGGTTTTGGAAGGAAGTCTAGTTAGTTATATACTGATTGTCTTTGAACTTCTAGATTTCAGGACCCTCCTGTCTCAGTCTCCCAAGTAGGTGAGTACAGGCACACGTCCAGGGATCTTAAATCCTTATGATCTACTTTTCTGTGCACGTGACGTTACCTTTCTCTATTTTTTTTTTTTTAACTTCAGAATTACAACCAGAGCTCAAGAGAAAAAATGTAAAGACAGGCAAAACAGGATCCTTGGAATGCTCTATTATTTTTCTGGCTGACTAAATAGGAAGACATTGTCAAAAGAAAACTGCTCGGTCTGATGCTAGATGTGAAACTCGTTAAATTCAAATACCGCCTAGAGATGACCTAACCTTGCATGACAGACGCTGTCGCTTTCAGAAAGCTTCAGTGGAAAATTTTCACCCTAAAGGCTTTCTTTCAGTCAGACGATTGCAAAAGAGCGATTAAGGTCTCCAGAGCGAAACCTGCAGGCCTGGGCTAAATAAAGACCTCTGTTCCGCCTGCTGAGTGTAGAGGGACAACTATTTCAAAAATAGCCAACCGGCCACGGTAAATTCCAGATTAGGAAACTCAATGTTCTGCGCAGGCGTCTAAGACCTTCCGACTCTCGGATACCGCCCCCGATCCCGCCCATCTGCCTCATGACGTAACCAAACGTGGGCGGAGTTAGATTAGCAGGCGTGGTCTGAGGGGGCGGGGCCGGCGGCGGTGCTGAACGCTGCTGCTCAGTGCCGGCGGGTTCCCCACCCGGCGCGAGTCGGCTGTGCCCGCGGTGAGGTTCGCAGGCGCTAGCGCTAGAGCGTTCCCGGGACGCTCACCGAAGCTGCTGGGTTCCCAGAGAGGAGCCGCCGCTCAGAGACGAGGCTATAGCAATCTCACGGCCGGCAGAGGACCATTTATCCCACCGACCGGGGACAAGGGCATGTTGGGCGGCGGCAGTGACGCGGGCCTGGCCACCGCCGCGGCGCGGGGGCAAGTGGAGACCGTGCGGCAGCTCCTGGAAGCCGGCGCAGATCCCAACGCCGTCAACCGCTTCGGGAGGCGCCCAATCCAGGTAGCGGGGGTCCTCAGGCCTTGCCGGCAGAGGGCGCACGAGCGCGGTGCCCTCCGCCGCTGCGAGTCGTAACCGGGCACCACCTGGGCAGCCCTCTGCTGCTGATTGTGTGCGTGCCCGACGGGAGGCAGGTTTTGCAAGAGCAAAAATCCTGAAAAACAAAAACGATCGAAATATCCCTCTGCACTAGATTGGCTTTTTCTTCCTTTTGCGATGCTGGATCTGGGACCCAGGGCCTCCGTACGTGCTGGGCAAGTGCGCTACCCGTGAGCAACGTCTCCAGCCTCTGAATCTTGGCAATGGTGGAAAAAAAAAATACCAATATTTATTCTGCCATCTTACAGTCACAGAAAGAAGACCGCCACTCCGGGAGCAAAGTGGGAAAGGGAGGGTCAGATAGAGAGAACGACGCGATAAAAATGAGATTACCAGTTACATGGCCTAGATTCAGGGAATTCCAAAAAATTGTAGTGTGTGGGACGAGAGAGTTCACTGTGAACAACGGTATGAATCTTTTTTATTTTCTTTTTCCTCAAACTTAATCGCATTCATAGGACTAAGGATTTTGCAAACCCAGCATTTAATTCCTTGTATGCGGGCAGCAACAGTGTGTAGTTTTCACTGCGAACAGGCAAAGCCCTCCCAAGAGAACTGTTGGGTCCTTTCGGAAGGACAAAGGGGTTCCCTAAACATTCTATGGACTGCTGAGATACATTTGTTCTGTGTTTACTAAACCTGCTGTAGTATTGACTTTCTTTCTTGACTTTCTTTCTTGAAGATCTAACACAATGCTTTTGTGCTCTCCTGTTGATATCTATAGTCGCCTTTTTCATTCACCTCACCACCCCTCTCTGGGATGATGAAAATCAGCGCTCTTGTTCCTAGAGTAGGTTTTTAGGAAAATAAGTATCATTCCTCCTTAGTTTATACGAAAAAGAGGTGTTTAACAAAAGAATATCTTAAAAGTAACAAAAAATAATTGTAAAGTAAGTATAAAGACCATATAAAAAAGTTTATTTATGATTTTCTTTACTAAAAACTTTTAAATCTTTTGGCGGCTGTAAAATTAGCCCTTACCTCGCTAAAAGAAAGAAAGGGATTATTGTGTTTCTTGAAGGAAGAAAGAAATGTTTCTAATATTAATGTAATAAAAACTGGCACATGACTACTGCCACTGTGTAAATTCCAAAGCACATAGGCCCACCAGAAGTGACTGTTTAGGACAGTTAGAAGCCAAAACCTGTTTTATTACTAACTTAAAATGTAGAAGCAAATGTTTGCACAGTGTACAACATACACAAATAGCTGCAATGGGGATTACATCTTCAAAACATTGTTGTTTGTTTTTCTTAATTATGCATCTTTGTGATTTTAGGTACTAATCAAACTTTTTATACAGAGAAAAATACCACTTACCATTAAAATTTTGTACAATATAAATGAATGTTAATTTCACATTACAGTGTATGTTCACTGTATGTCTAATCTTTCCACTGTATATCATACTAAGTTAAAATGTTATAAGATGCTGAATAATTTGTTCCCATAATGTTATATAAGCTTGGAATGTGACAGCTTTCTCCTGATCTCCGATGCTCAAATGATCACAATACAGTTTGTGAGCACAGACCTTTTTAAAAACTGCCTTGTTTCGTTTTTTTCCTGTAAAGCATTGCTCTAACTTCTTAAAACAAAACAACCACCATTATGTGGTATCCGCATTTGCTTCCTGTTGCTGTAAGAAGCACCATGACTAAAAGGAACTTGGAGAGAAAGGAGTTTCTCTGGTTTACATTTAATTGCTACAGTGCATTTCTGATGGAACTCAAGGCTGGAACCAAAGCAGAGATCATGGAGGAACATTGCTTACTGGCTTGCTCAAGGCTCAAATTCAACCACATTTATTCCAGGTCCACATGTGAGACACACACCCAGAGTGGACTGGAACACACACACACACACTTGTCATTAACCAAGAAAATGTCCCACAGATTTGCCTACAGACCATTCTGGTGGGGGCTTTTCATTCAGCTGAGGTTCCTCTTCGCAAATTAGTGTGTCAAACTAACCAGCATATATGGTTGGTTACACCTAGAAGGCTAGAGGAAAACAATATAAAATTGTGCATAGAAAGCCTGGTTTCTGGTGTCCTGTCTCCAACATATGCTAGGGCAAGGTTGGCACAAACTTTGTAGAGTAACCAACCAATGCCAGACTTGACTAAAGGCACACTCCACAAGATGGAACCAGATATTGCTTGAGTGACCAAGATCCAGAGACTATAGCTCAGCAAACTAGGGTAAAACCAAATAGTATTGTTCAAAAAGAAAAAAAATAGCAACAAAATGACTTCTAATGACATTCTGCTGTACTTACACATGTCTGGCCTTGCTCAGCCATCATCAGAGAAGCTTCCTCCTACAGCAGATGGGAACAGATATAGAAGCCCACAGCCAGACAATATGCAGTGAGACAGACCTTGGAACACTCAGGCTTAAGTGGATGTCTCCATCAACTCCCTCCCCCACAGGGCTAAGGGAACCCTGCAGAAGAGAAGGTAGAAATAGTGTAAGAGCCAGAGGGGATGGGGAACACCAAGAGGGAAAAAAAAAAAAAAGGTCCTCTAAATGACCAAAGCTCATATGCTCATAAGAACTCACAGAGACTGAGGCAGAATGCACTGGGTCTGTGTGGACCTACACCAGATCTGTGTATATATTATGGCTCCCAGTTTAGTGTTTTTATAGTGCGCCCAAGTGTGTGAAAGAGTAGTCTCTTCAGTCAGTCTTGTGCCTTCTCTTGTGCCCTTTCCCTTCTGTTTTGTTCAATTCCGATGTATTAGGGTTTTATTTTATATTTTATGCTATCAGTTAGAAGCCTGATTGTTTTCTAACAAGAGTCAGAAAGGGAACCGATCTGATAAGAGGGGAGATGGGGAGGAGCTGAGAGGAGTAGAGGGAGGGGGATATCATAGTCAGAAATTATGTGAGGGGAAAAGTCGATTTTCAGGAAAACGGTAAAATACAAAAAAAAAAACTAAGCTAACAAATCACTTAACGAAATCTCTGTTGTCCAACGTTCCATATAAGAAATAAGCCATTTTTCCACTCTTTCTTATTGCTTCACCTGTGGAGAATAAAATGGACTCCATTGAGTTCAGCCTAGGCTATGATGGGTGGGGAGTGGATTGAGTAAGCAAATGAGAAACCAGACACCTGAAGCTTGCTAGCGTCTTCACATCCCCTTCGTAACCTCTGAGCTCTTTGTCTTCTTTTCCCCTCAGGTCATGATGATGGGCAGCGCCCAGGTGGCAGAACTGCTGCTGCTCCACGGAGCAGAACCCAACTGCGCCGACCCTGCCACCCTCACCAGACCTGTGCACGATGCAGCTCGGGAGGGCTTCCTGGACACGCTTGTGGTGCTGCATAGGGCTGGGGCACGGCTGGATGTGTGTGATGCCTGGGGCCGCCTCCCCGTAGACTTGGCTGAAGAGCAGGGCCACCGTGATATTGCAAGGTATCTGCACGCTGCCACTGGAGATTGATGGCAGGTTCCCTCAGCCTCCTGCAAGGACTTTTTTCTCCCCAGCCCCATCTAGGAAGACTACAGGCATAAAGAGGATCAGCAGCCTGCAGGCCTTCCAGAACTTGAACCCCATCCAGGAAGGCAAAGCAGCTGAATCTGGCTCTTGATCCTCACCCTGAAGCCACGAGAATCACCAAGGAGTATTGTATGTACCTTTCAGAACGTGGTGTAAAGTAGCAAGGGAAATTCTTGAATCTCCACAAGATGCTGCTGCTGTGGGAACTGGAGACAGCTTGACATTTGGGTGGGAGCAGTCAGTACCTTCCCCTGTGAACTCAAAATGCACATGATCCTCAGGTGAGAGGGGAAACCTGGAGAGTTGATGAGAGGCTCTGAGTGGTTCTGTGCACTGTCATGTGTGGGGAATTCACCTGCAAGATGGCATTTATAGAATACGAGGAGTCACCTCCAGCTCCACAAGGAAAATAGTGAACCCACAGTTGCCTTGACAGACGCCACATGTACACCGCCCGATGGTGAATTTTACTGTGTAGCAGTTTACTCTATTCAAAATAGTTTAAGAACCCCTTTAGAAATTTTCTACATTGGAGTTGCTCTTTAGTAACAGTGTATTTAATAAGGAAAACCTTTAACAGTGTAACATCTGCTCCTCAGCAGAGGTGAGACTGAAGTGCCTCTTGTTTTTGTTCGGTTGGTCTTTTTGGTTGGTTGGTTGGGTTTTTTTTTTCCCTTCTTTCCTTCCTTTTCAAGACAGTGCTTTCCTACGCCTGCCTTCGTCTCCCAAGTACTGGGCTTATAGCCTGCACCCCTCCAGAAATTCAGGTTCTCATGAAACTGTAACACTCCTAGTGGCAAAGCACACGTTGCTTTTATCTTTAAGCTGTTTATTTCTCTATTCAGTGTTCCTGTATAGTGTCTAAAGGGAGCTATTCTAGGTGTCCTGTTAGATGACAGGCCTGTTTATCGAGTCAGTTACCTTGGGCTACTTCCCAAAAAGGAGATTGAGTATGAACTTAGTGAAATCAAATGATGACTCATGGGCTGTACTGCTATCTGCTGAACAAATTGTGGATGTACTCTGGGGGGCTTCCAGTGTGGCCTGGTTCATTTTGCATTGAAACAATTGATACATCATTGTTTTAATAAAGAATAAACAGTTTAGGTAGACTCCAAGATGTGGAAGATTTGGCATTAAAGTGTATTTTCCAGGCCGGAGAGATGGCTCAGTTCAGTTCCAAGAACTTGTAACAGGTGACTCACAACCACCTAAAACAACAGTTTCAAGGATTAAAACCTCTTCCTCTACAGAAAACTGCATTCTTGATACTTGTGCATACACACCCCCAACACACACACACAATTTAAAAAAATAAAAATAAAAACTTGAGCCTCGAGAGATCTCCATGGTTAAAAGCCTTTGCTGTTCTTCAGAATTCAGTTCCCAGCAACCATAACAGGTCCAGGATATTATGACCTCTGCAGGCACCCATACATGCCATACACTTACATTTTCACACAAATATTTTAAAAGTTCATGTATTTTCATACATTTACCACAAAATCCCAAATGATAAAAAATTCAAATGCTCACTGCCTGTCCTTTGTAATAAATCCAGAAAATGATTTCAATCATTTATTCTTAAAATCTGCTCATAGTAAAACATAAGACTGACACTTTATGTTTCTATGTGTCAAATATAGTGAATATTCATCTAAAATAGAGAAGAGGAACTAGAAAACAACTTGAGAGTAAAAAGAGGTGCCTCTGAACTAAATACACAAAACTTCCCTATCGATTCCTTATTTCTCAAATTAATATATTACCAAAGAAGATGAGGTGAGAAATAGTTCGTATCTTTTGGCAAGGGCAGCATATTTATTGATACAGTTTACATTTACACTGGGCATGCTTTTAAACATATTTGTTCCTTAAACACTTAAACCTTCCGTTACGTGCAAAAGTAAGTCAATTTGGCCCCCAGATGTGGATCTTTTAAAGTTTACAAATACTGGAACTTCTTTAGCTTGTGGAACAAGAGACTAGCAAGTCTGGTATGGGGGGAGGGACAGAGTTTTGTAGCCCTGTGCCTTGTGCAGCATCTGAAATGTAGTTGGCCCAATGCTTATAAAGATAATTGTAAATAATTATTATCCAAGGAGGAGAAGCAAAATTCATGATTGCAAATATCAATGCCTATTTATAGAAAATCAAGTTTAAGGGAATAAGAAGGTTCTATATACGTGAAAAGATAGTCTACCTTTCCCATTAGTGTTTGACCTATAAGTGAATAGGAATAGTCATGTCATACTCATGTCATGTGCACTTATAAAGTACAAAATGAATTCCCGAACACAGTAAAGAATGCTGAGTCAACCTAGTTAACACAGTCATCACCTCAAGCATCATTATGCTAAGTGAAAGGTCAGAAAAACAGATGTCACAGGTCCTTCCATATACTTTAGACTCTGACACTCACCAAAGCAGATATTTAAGAGGTAGTCCCAAAGGCAGAAGAAGGGTAGGAGGCATGTCGCAAAACTTCACACCAGAAAATGTTTGCTTTTGTCTTTAAACCTAGTAAGTAGTAAGAGTGTATAGATATGCAGATTTTAACGTTGCTATAACAGAAATCTGCAGATTCCCTTATCACAGTGACTGCACTGTTGTTCTCACTGTATCAAATCGTGTATGTGGTAAACAGACATGGGTAAACATGTACTTTTCTAAGTGCAGAAAACATGGTCTCTTTCACCTTCTAGGGGTGGCTCTTCTCATATAGAATTTTGAAAATACAGATATTATATTCAACATGCTTTTTACTCCCCAAAGAAACTCAAAATTACTGGAGTAAAGCTTTCATCTCTGCCCAGAGAGACTGACTCTTGGTCTTCCTGCTGCACCCTACAAGAGACTCCTCCCACTCCTCCTCTTGGTGAGGCCTCAGAGTCCCCTTTAACACTTTCCTTCCCAGCCTCTCCTCTTGGTGAGGCCTCGGAGTCCCCTTTAACATTTTCCTTCCCAGCCTCTCAGCGATTAAAAACAATGACTTCATGAAATTTGCAGGCAAATGGATGGAACTAGAAAATATCATCCTGAGTGAGGTAACCCAGTCACAAAAGAACACAAATGGTATGTACTCACTCATAAGTGGATATTAGCCAAAAAGCTCAGAATACCCATGATACAACTCACAGACCATGGGAAGCCCAAGAAGAAGGAAGACCAAAGTGTGGATGCTTCTGTCCTACTTAGAAGAGGGAACAAAATAATAACAGGAGGTGGAGGGGGGGTAGGACCTGGGAAGGAAAGAGGAGGGGGATGGAAAATGGGGGGGGCAGGATCAGGTGTGGGAGGAGATGGGAGGGAAGTATAAAAGGTAGGGAAATTGAGGTGGTGTGTAGCAGTAGGGGATGGGGAACTGGGGATAGCCACTAGAAAGTTTCAGCATTCCCTTTCTAGCCCATCCCCACTCTTGTGTCAACCTTCGAGAATCACTTGCTACCAGGGACCCTCAGTGAGCTGAGACACAGGTGGGATGATTTTCATTAGCCTCCTCTCCCTCCATTCCCCTCTGCATAAGTATTCTTGCTCTGGTAGCCTGCCTATACCAGCCCCTCCTCCCATCCCAACTGCACTCCCCAAAGACTCCATCTTTTGGTACAACCTGGTGCCCCTAGCTCTTTTCCATCGCCCCTCAGCCTCTCCTGCTACCCCACCTCTATTTCCTTGTGTTATTCGTCAACCCACAGAAACACTCCACCAGGAAACCCCACAGTCACCACAGTTGCCTAAAATCTCAGAGTGGACAACAGCAGCCAAAGAAGGTAACACTTACCCAACAGCAATGAGATCAGATTTTTATACCAAGAAACACCTCAAACACAACTCCGGATAGCTAGATATAAGCAAAAAAGCGCATCCAAGATAATATGCCTCCTCCAGAAGCCAGTAACCATTGCAATAGACCCAGACAAATTCAGTTTAGCTGAAGCAAAGATAAGGGTCTCAAAATAGCTATTATGAGTACAGTCAAAGACCTTAAGGAGGATATGAATAAATGCCTCGATGAAGACTGAAAAACACATAAGCTGAAGTAATGAAAATATTTCAAGACACTATGATAGAAATGATATCACTAAAGAAAAACTAAATTGAAATGAAAAAAAATAGGATGTAAAACAAAAACCTCAGAGAGAGATTTCTACTATTGCTCAGTCCATGAAATGGAACCCAAACCTGACACTGTTAAAGTGGCCAAGAACCTAAAACTACAATTAGTCATGACCTAGTAAAATACCTACTACCTGCTAAAGGACCACAGCAATAAAATGACTCCTAATGACATTGCTCTGCCTATAGATCAGCGTCTCACGCGGGCACAGCAGAAAAGCTTCTTCTTGCAACAGAAAAGAACTAATGGAGTCCCGCAATTGAACAGTGTGCAGAGAGTGAAAGACGTGGAAGTACCTAACCCTAAATGGGATGTTTTTATCTTCTCCTTCAGAGCTCAGGGAGCTGTGTGGAAGAGGCGGCACCAAGACTGTAAGAACTACAGGGAGATGGAGGACTTCAAGGAAAACTCAGAGACTGTGGCACAAGTCCAAGCACGGAAGGAGTGAACTGGTTCCATCCCTAAACACGAAGCTATCTGCAGCTGACACCCACTGTCAAAGGCAAAATCAGTTTTCTCCAATAGTCTCTCTGGGTATATCAACCACACCCTCAGAGCAGGCCCCATGAGTAGTTGGCCAGCTTGCTTTGTTTAGAACTGGTTTGTTTCATTGCTCTTTTCCTTCCCTGTTTTGATTTTTGTTGTGTGTGTGTGGGGGGGGGTGTTTTTGCTTTTGTTATATGTTTTTTGTTTGTTTCTGAGAGACAGAAAACAAAGTTAAACAGGTAGGGAAATGGACAAGCTCTGAGGAGAAAACATGATCAAAATGTATTATAAGAAAAACATTCTTGAGTAAAGATTATGGAGCGCTCATTTTCATAATGGGCTGTAAGAATGAAAAATATAATTCTAAATAACACTTAAATAATCAATAGTAGCTAAAATGGAGTTTTTAGAGATATATTATTTAAAATAGCTTCAAATAAAAAAGTCACACAAGTGGTAATATAAGCCTCCCATTTGATTTATAAAATCCCTTAGCTTCTCCATTTCTTTTGGTCCAAAATATTTCAATTTGCTAGTTTGAGGAGATTGACTGTTATTTCATTCCAAATTTAAAGAAATTGTAGGATCATTCTCAGTGTCATAAGTCACCATTTCAGTACAGCCAACATACATACATTTAATATATTCTCTATTGCTCTTCACAGGAAAATTTTAAAATTCATACACACATATATATGTATATATATATATGAATGACAGTTAACAGAGTATATATGTATATGGATATACATATATATATATGAATGATAATTAATAGAGTTTAACTGCCTTTGTAATGAAAGATAAGCTAATTCCCTTTTATATTCTCCCAGAAGCTGCTAATTTTTATAGCAGGTTATAAGCTTCACTATGGCCAATATTTGTCACTCTAAAAAGGACAAAGCAGTGGGATTAAATATCCACAGAAGTTACAGGACACATCAGAAGCCAATGTCCCCAAATATAAGGAAGTCTGTGCATGTGAGCATCTGGCTGCATTCACATGCTGGCT